GCCCCCCCCCCCCGGGCACCGCTGGGGTTTGGGGGGGCTGCTCTGCAATGGGGGCACCCAAAGGTGCTGCTCCGGAGCCTCCGGACCTGGGGAGGGAAAATCCGGGGATGGGGAGGGGTTAAACAGAGTTTGGGGGGCACTTCCAGCCCCCCCAAACCCCGGGACACCCCAAACCCCAATGGGGACACCCCAAACCCCAATGGGGACATCCGAAACCCCAATGGGGACATCCCAAACCCCAATGGGGACACCCCAACCCCAGAGGGTTCTGGGGGGCTCCAGGGGGGTTCTCAACCCGGGAGGTTCCTGAGGGGTCCTGGGGAGCTCGGGGGGGTCCCAGGGGGGTCTCAAGGGGATCCCGGTAGTTTCCCAGCCCTGGAGAGATCCGGGGGGGGTCCTGGGGGGTCCCAGGGTGGCCCTGGGGGCATCTCTGGGGGTCCTGGGGGAGAAGGGGCTGGAAGGTCCCAGGGGGGCTCCCAGAGAGATCCCAGGAGGGTCCCCAAGCTCGGGGGGGGGGGGGCCCGGGGGGGGTTCCCAGCCCCGGGGGGTCCCGGGGGGGTCCCAGGGGGTCCCGGGGGGTCCCAGGGGGTCCCGAGGGGTCCCGGGGGTCCCGGGGGTCTCACCAGGCTCAGTAGGGCCGGTTGGCATCTTTGGGCCTCTTGAGCTGCACCTTGAGCCGCTTCATCCCGATCTGGAAACCGTTCATGGCCTGGATGGCGGCCTGGGCGCTCGCGGGGTTGTCAAAGCTCACGAAGCCTGCGGGGACAGCGGGGAGGTTGGGGACATCGGGGACAGTGGGGACATTGGGAGAATTGGGGACATTGGGGACATCGGGGACAGTGGGGACATTGGGAGAATTGGGGACATTGGGGACATCGGGGACAGTGGGGACATTGGGGACATCGGGGACAGTGGGGACATCGGGGACATCGGGGACATCGGGGACATTGGGAGAATTGGGGACATTGGGAGAATTGGGGACATTGGGGACATTGGGGACAGTGGGGACATTGGGGACATCAGGGACATTGGGGACATTGGGGACATCGGGGACAACAGAGGTTGGGGGGACATGGGGTTGTCATGGGGACGGGGATGTGGGAGAACAGGGACATGGAGGACATGGGGAACTCGGAGGATTTGGGGACGTCATGGGGACATCATGGGGACATTGGGGACAAAGGAGACATTGGGGAGATCAGGGACAGCGGGGACAGAGGGGACATTGGAGACAGATGTGACAGAGGGGATGGGGAGCAGAGGGGACATCGGGGACATCGGGGACATCATGGACATTGGGGACATTGGGAACAGTGGGGTCAGAGGGGACATTGGGGACATTGGGGATGTTGGGGACAGTGGGGACATTGGGGACAGTGGGGAGATCAGGGACATCAGGGATTGGTGTCCCTGGCCATGTCCCCAGGTCATGGCACTCCCACCCCTGTCCTTGTCCCCCCATATCCCCATGTCCCCATATCCCACATCCCAATGTCCCCAGTGTCCCCACTGTCCCCAAATACCACATCTCCTATCCCATACCCCGTATCTCATTATCCCCGTTATCCCCAATGTCCCCAATGTCCCTGTGTCACCAATGTCCCCAATGTCCCTGTGTCACCCATGTCCCCGATATCCCCAAAGGCTCCGATATCCCAAATACCCCCGATATCCCCAATATCCCGATGTCCCCATATCCCGATATCCCCATATCCCGATATCCCGATATCCCAAATATCCTCGATATCCCAATATCCCAATATCCCGATATCCTGATATCCCGATGTCCCCATATCCCGATATCCCCAATATCCTGATATCCTCAATATCCTGATATCCTCGATATCCCAATATCCCAATATCCCGATATCCCCAATATCCCAATATCCCGATATCCCGATATCCCCAATATCCT